TGAGTCTTTTGTTAGTTGCTCTTCAAGTCTTAATTTTTTTTTTTTGGCTTTTGGTTTTTGAGTCTTTTGTTAGTTGCTCTTCAAGTTTTTTTTTTTTTTTTTTGGCCTAATTGTACTTTCCTGGTGGCAGGGCTACTGGGTGAGCTCTTATAAAAAGCAGGGATCAGAGGGGAGTAACTAGAAAGTGAAGACTGTGGCATTTCCTGCCACCTTAGACCAAAGGATGGGAAAGTCTAAGATACCAGCTACAAGGGACAACAGCTTGAACAGACAAAGGCTTGGGATAGCGGCAAGTCCAGCTCTTGGTCAAGGTTTTCAAAAGTGATGGGTGATTTTAGGTGCTCAAGTTGAGACATATTAAAAGGGTCTGATTTTCTTCACAGAGCGCAGCACTTGTTGAAAATCAGACCCCTTTAAAGAGTCTCAGGTTACATACCCAAAATATTTTTTTTTAAATCTTGGCCAAGTTCTGTACCTATTTCCTTTAAAACCACAGAATAACCTGTGGTGTTGTCCTCTTTTTAAGGGGAGAAAAGAGAAATAATTAACATAGAACCCTAATGGTTGTTCTCCGTGAAGACTGAGTGTTTAAAACATACATTAAAGTTTTTGTGGTAGGTCACTTTTGAGTTATGAATGGAAAAAACATTTGAAAAGAGGACTTAATTAAATGTAGAGCTGCTTGATTAGGCCTCAGAAAACTGTAGGACTAGGTTTATTTACTGCATACAACTGTGCAGGGTAATGGATAAAGGATTTAATACAAACTTTCTCTGAATGGGAGGGAGGAAGGAAGGAAGGAATATGCAGTTTGCAGGAACATGTACCCAGCTGTTTTCATAAAATAGGGAGCTTTTATGTAGAACTACATCTTATGGAGTAATAATTGCATTGGAATGAGGTGGCTGCCTTAGACAATTTTACCTAATGAAACTTCACCGGCATGTTTGAAGAAAACAAAGTTTTCATTTGAAATCCGAGTGGAACCAATTCTCAACTCTGAAACCACCAACTGCATAAATGATTTTATTGCATGATGTACAGTACAATTAAAGTGCAGTCAGAACAGAAATGGCAACCCCGAGAAAAGAGAAGCCAGTCTAGTTTTGTATCTGGTAACAGCAGAGCTGGAATCGCATAGCAGTCTGTACACCACAAATGAATTTTGTGAGGCGAAATGCACTGATCCAGATCAGAGTCCTAAATATGTTTCTGCTTACCCAGATAGGTGGCTCAGATAGCATAGCAGTGAATGGAACATAACTATTCACAGGAGCGAGAACGTGGATTGGCTGCGGGGACTGGGAGTCAGGACACCTGGTTCTGTTCTCTATGCTGCTACTGACCAGCAGTGTGACTTCCCCTCTCTGTGCCTCTGTCTGGTAAACTGCTTGGGGCACACAGGGACTGTGTCTCACTATGTGTTTTGTACCACACTTAGCACAATGGGGATCGAGGTTGGAACCTGCTGTAAATCAGAGAACTAATAATGAGAGATCAAACTTGCAATGGGGCAAAGCAGAGAGTTACTCCATGAAGAGTGTTACCTTTTAATAAAGCCTCTTGCTGCCATCTGGCATGTATGAGCAAGCGAGGGAGTAACACTCGACCAGATATTTATTCCTTAAGAACAGGGCCTCACAGACGTGATTCATGGAGTCCTCCTTGGCTGGGCACCAAAGGACCTTCTCAGAACCAACTTGTGGGGGAAAAGGGGCCATTGGTCCACATGAGGTGGTCCACAAAATGAAAAGTGGGAGAATCCTTGGCCTAGGGTAGTAGTCCTGCCCCACTAAACCCACAGGTGAAACTAAAGTTCCTGGGCCACAGACAAGGATCAACGATCAATCAGAGGAGGTGCCTCCTAGGTTTCTCTTCTACCCTGCTGTGTCCTGTACTTAGGTAACTAATTTACATGTAAGCCAGAAAAGACCAGAAACATACATGAGGGATGTGGAAGAGGGGTTTGCTACACGAAGAAGTTTTACACAGTCAAATTATGTTGTCTGGAAAAATGGGCTCTGTTGTGGAAATTTACTAACACGCAAGTGGGTCAGGGTGACAGCTTTAATAAGACTCTCAATACTCCATTGTTTGTGGTAGTGGCTTCAATACATTAGGCTCTTTCTAGACCTACAAGAAGGCATAGCCCCTGTCCTTTTCATTTTGTGGACTGAAAAGCAGAGAGGCTAGGGCCCGTTACCTGCACAAAATTCTCTGTTACTCACACACTCTAGGGCACCCACCCTTACCCCGTTCCTAGGACTCAGGCATAACCCTATCATTTTAAGTACCCACCCTCCCCCAATTCCTTGGGCTCAGGGTGTAATTTTCTGTGGGTTTGCAGGACCTTTTACCAGTGAAAAAGCCTTATATGGTAATATCCTTATCCTCTATTTATGAACAAGCACCAAAACCAGACTGCACACACTACACGTACAGTGCTCATCACTCCCAATCAGGCAGATGAACTTGATGGCCAGTCAGGATCAGGTCCATCTGGGGGAATTCCAGTTTCTGCACGGTGTCATTGGCAGAGTGTTGAAGTTTGGCAGCTCTGTTCTTGGCGCTGTGTCCTGGAGTTTGTTCCCAAAGAACTTTCTTTTGGACCCAGTTTATATAGTGAAACTTGAGCCCTGCTGAGCTAGACCTTAGCCAATTATTTAACTAAAATTTAACTACCCAATCCTACCGAAATTCTCTAACCAATCCTACCCCACCACCTTAATTAATTTACACCTAGCAAAATTAATGATGTAACAGACAAACAATTAAAGAACCGGACAGAGATCAGACAGACAGACAATAGGGAAGGGGGGACCATAATGACAAAACAATAAAGAAATGAGGATTTCACAACCACCGCTATTGATAAGGCTGTCGAACTAAGTTTTCTTTAACCATCTTAAGATCGGTTTCTTTATCTGGTGATAGTGGGGGCCATTAGGACGGGGTCTCCTTCTTAACAGCCGATATTACATTGTTTTAATGTAATTTAGATGGACTGTAAGGATGTGACTTCCTGCTTCTCCGCTAACGGCTGCTGTTCTTTTAACCTGACTGCAGATGAAGGCCTTGGGCCTTGCAATATGGCTACAAAGGCCTTATCCTTACAGCCTTGCAGATGGACTCTCAGAGGTCATACCATGCCTAGGGGGCCATGTGGAAGACGACACGGAGGCAGTTGTTCAAGACATTGACAAATGGGTGGAAGCACTGGTGGAGTTGAGGGTCTATAATTAGAGGCGGTCGGGGGGACAGTTATAGAGCGCTTGAAAGGAGGTGCCAAGTACCAGGGTGAGAGCTAGCAGGAGGGAAGCGATGCACTTTTACTGACAGCTGAAGAAGATGAGTTTTACCCTGTGATATAGGGTACAGTGGTACACTTACTAATTATTTCATAGTTAACTTCTGCAGGAATAGGGAGGGTCCACTTGAATCCTCTCCACAACATATTTGGAGCTAAGCTCTTCACAGTATTTGTCTCAGTAGAAATATTAAGCATTCACAAGGCAGAGTTCATGCTTACTGTTCCAATCAAAATAGGCACAAATCCATAATCTTTCCCCTGAGGTTGATGAGGGCAACCACAAGTAACTATAGATTTTTCAAACTGCAGCCCTTAAACATGCTTAGTAGAGTAAAAAATAGTATAACAAAGTAATAATAGTAGTTGGGAAATCGGTGAATCGTTGCTTTCCAGGAAAGGAATTTCAGTCCATTAGTAAGCCTGCATCTTGTCGGTTTCCTTTGCTGGGAAAAATCAGTCAAAGAATTGCACTGCACTGACGCTGTTACTGTATCGAGAGAGAAAAAAGTTGTTTTTTTAAAGAAGGTAGCAAATATTTTTAGTTACTTAAAATGATCCAAACCAGAAGTCAATTACTGCAAACTACAAATGGCAATTTATAGTGTGTGTGAACTGAGGGCTGTTCATGCTCTGTTCCTATCACTGTGGTGCTTGTGATGTTTGAACGCTAGTTGTGAGATGGGGAATTTAAATTAATTATCCAGGTGACTGTTTCTGATGCATAGACGTTAGGGAAAGAAACGTCTTGCACCATCATTTCCAAGCTTTTCTGAAATGAATCTTTTCTGTTGGTCGATGCCTGGTATTTGCATAATGATATTTCTCATCCCCCCTCCCGCAAAGTGCTTTACACACAGTAAATCCCTCACTGAAATACTGCTCCCTCAAGTGTAGAATGTAGCAGCTGTTTAATGGTTCACAATAGCATTAGGGGCTGGTCTCTGTAGGGGGAAGGAATTTGAAGTTGCAGAATATAACACATTGCTAGATTCTTCTGACTGTCGAGTGGCAGCAAAAAAGACTTGGGTATGATTAGACTCCTCTTTCTCTTCTTTAGACCCCTGGCTGTTTTTCAGTTTGAACTGGTGAGCCAGAAAAAAAACTATTTTGCTGTGTATACTTGCATCTCTTTCTCAAGGTGCCCCAGAGGTGAAAGTAAGCTGGTACGGTACGGTACGGGGTACCGGCAAGAGCTGGTACACCGTGCCGGACTGGACCAACTTCTCCGGCAGTGATTTAAAGGGCCCAGGGCTCCAGCCCCTGCGGGGAGCCCCGGGCCCTTTAAAGCGCTGCCAGAGCTCCAGAAGCGATTTATAGGGCCCAGGGCTCCCCGCAGTGGCAGGAGCACCAGGCCCTTTAAATCGCCTCCGGAGCCCTGCCGCCCCAGTATAGCGGCGGCAGGGCTCTCGCGGTGATTTAAAAGGCCCGGAGCACCACGGTGGCTGGAGCCCTGGGCCCTTTAATTCGCCCCTGAGTCCCGGGGCTCCCAGCCGCCTCTGCAGCTGGTAGCTCCAGGATGATTTAAAGGCCCTGGGGCTCCCAGCCACAGCCAGAGCCCCAGGGCCTTTAAATCTTGAAAGGCCCCGCCTCTTCCGGTTGAGGCCATGCCCCGCTCAGGACTCCGGCGTACTGGTAAGTCCTTTAAGTTACTTTCACCCCTGAGGTGCCCACCCACAGGTGGCGATTAGCTAACACATATACAGTACCTCTGCGTCAGCTTATGAAGCAATATCTGGATCCACGGTGCATTGGGATGCACGCAGGCTCTCTGTTTACTCTTCAGGGTAAGTCTGTGAAATATAATGGGGTCATTTTAGCTTCTCATAATATCAACCCTTGGGAAATCTTCCAGGAGGTCACCTAGCGAGAAGAGCCGAGGCAGATTACAGTTCTGTGGGGCCGTGGCCAGATCAAGTGGGGGCCCCTCCCCACCCTTTTAGCCTGCAGCCACCTCATCCCCCACCCCGCCTGGCACTCCTGCTGGGGAGCGGGGTCAGAGCATGGGGGCTTCCCCCACTCCCCAGCACAGGAACGCCAGCGGAGCAGGTCAGAGTGCGGGGGCACGCATTTTTCCAGGACCACCCAATTGGCTGGGGCCCCTGAGCACGGGTCCCATTGGCCCAGTGGCTAATCCGCCACTGCAGAAGAGTAATTCTGCAGTGGTCAAGTGGGAGCTGGGTTTGGCTGTGTGGAACTGGCAATTTCAGCATTCAGTATAGTGCACCGGTGCTGACCCCAAGGGCATGTCTTCACTCAGAGCTAACTTGGGTTCTGACATGGGTGCTGCCCCAACCCTCCTGCTGTCCACACACAAAGCTCTGACCCTGGTTTGATAGTGGTGCTCTAAACCCAGGCTAGCTGGCACGGCTGGGGGTGTGGGTTAAATCTCAGGTGTTGCTTTCACTCAGGCCGGTAACACACCCACTTTGCAGCCAAGGTGCAGGCTAAACCACTCAAGTGTTGATAGTCCTAAATGCCTTCTCTCAATTATCCCTGGGTGCTCAGAAGGACAGACAAGTTCTCCCACAATTCATTGGGAAAGATTCCTAGAGCAGCTCAAACAACGTTGTTCTTACTGTAGCACAAAACCCATGGTGAGGACATAGTACATTTTGGTGTGACTTTGCGCTGTGGTTGCTTACATCCCAGCTCACTCTGCAGTGAAGATATAGCCTAAGGGCATGGCTACACTTGCAGATGTAGATTTCAGAGTAGCAGCCGTGTTAGTCTGTATCCACAAAAAGAACAGGAGTACTTGTGGCACCTTAGAGACTAACAAATTTATTAGAGCATAAGCTTTCGTGGACTACAGCCCACTTCGCATCCGAAGAAGTGGGCTGTAGT